GAGATCGTATACGACGTTTATAAAAAGTCCGACGTAAGTATTAACTTAACATCGACTAAATCTTTTAAATAAGTGCTATGCGGATATGCTTTTAAAAAAAATAGCGGCTTGAAAATTAATAAAGTCGCAAACGACGTGCAATACGTTCTTGCCGTTAAAGTATATCATATCGACGTATACTGTATTATTAAAGTTAGTATTATTTTTAAGTCTAATATTAAACCTCTTTAAAAAGCGTTCGAATACTTAGTAGTAATAGCAAAACTTTTAAATGTTATAAAGCAAATCTCGCTTAAATTCGTGCTCGGCCTTTTTAAGAATAGCAGCAAATCGACTTGTTAAAAAGTGATTAAAACGCTTATAAATAATCTTTAATTATTCTTTCGTAAAATAGCAATAAACGGTCTCGCTTTCGCTTTCGATATTATAATAAGCAATAGCGTGTTCCTTACTTAATAGCATTTATACGTGCTTAAATATCTTTATTATTAATATTTCTTTTTTTTTTAAATTAACACGTTTCGCAAGTTATTTAAAATCACTTTATGCTTATCTATATCAGCTAATAAAAATAAAAAGAGTACGTCGCTCTTTATAACGTAAAACTCTACTTGACCTAAAAGAGTGTTTAAAGTAACTGCTTTAATAAAAGTAGCAAAGCCGATGCCGTATTTAATAGACTTCTTTTTTGCTCGGAATGTATTTAATTAAACTTCGAAATACTTCTTTTAAAGTGCTCGTAGCTAAAGCAAGCTAGCGATAAAGAAATTAGCTGTTCCGCTATTAATTATAAAGCTTATAAATACGTTTTCAAAATACTTAAAAGCTATATAAATCTTTGCTTTGCCCGCGAGCACGTTTTAAGTCTCGATTTAGCTAATAAAAGCGTAGAATACCGTTTAAATCTCTAGTTGTTTATATACTTCGTTAGCGTTAAAAGTGCCGTAAGTAGTCACAAAACCTTCCGATATATTAGCGTAACTGCTCGATTCGAATAGCTCGTTTAATAGGCTTGCGATAAATTAATTAAATTCTTTTGTAAATAAAAATAACAAACTTTCGATCGATACTACGTATTAAAAGAATTTACTTCTCGTCACTTTTTTTACGTCTTTAAAGCTTTAAAACTTAGCGACGGATGCTTTACGCTCGTCGAAAGTGTAGTTAATGCTTTAATAACTTAGCTTTTTGCAAATAAAATACTTTTTCTTACTTTTAATAACCTTAATAGCTTTCTTACTTTCGAAGTATTAGCAGTCTTAAATAAAGCATTCGTATTCTTTATTTAAATCGGAATTAGCTTTTAAAGTATTATACTAAAAGCAAATGTGATCGTGTAGCTCGCTAAAGCTCGCGTAAGCTTTATTCGCTTTAACGGAAAGTCGAAAAGTCTTAGTTGCAAACGCAATAGCTTTGCGAATATCGGTAATTATAACGGTAAAAGTAAAAATAAAGTTTATTCGTGCAATCGTAATCTTTAATACGTTTTTATAAGCTAAATACAGCTTATTAATAAGACTTCGATCATCTTTCAAACTTAATCGTAAAAAGCCTTAAATCCTTTTAAGCTTTTTAGCGAGCTTCTTAAAGCACTCGCTAAGCGAAGTTTTTAAATTCTTTTTTTTAATTAAATCTAGCGAAATTTCTTTTTAACGGTCGTATTTTGCTTGCCGCCGGTGGTCAATCTCGAAGTAATCTTTTATTACAATAGCGTTCGCTTTAAAAATCAAAAGCCTAGCTTTAATAACGTAATTATAATAAAAGGTTATAGCTTCTTTTATAAGTATAATCGAAAACGCCGCTAAATAGTCGTCGGAAGTCAAACCGTATCGACTTACTTAATTAATAAAAATCTTTAATTAAATCTTAAAGTCATCGTCGGGTTTTAAATACTTTAGCTCCTTAAGAAAGCTTTGCGCGAACAAAGCTAATTCTTTCGCTTTTAAATGAAGGTCTGCTGCTTTTAGCTTAAGGAAGTCGTTTCTATTATCGTTAAAAGCGCTTAAAATGCTATACGCAAGTCTATTATACTTAGCTAATAATCTAATCGGTAAAAAGTTACCGATATAATTGCCGATAATCCGTTCTTTTTTAAAGTCTTTAAAAAGCTTATTTCCGGATCCGAAGTCTTTTAAAAGTCCGTTTCCGAATCTATTTTTTAATTCAAAAAGCCCGTTCTTACTCCTTTCGTATCCGTGTCCTCGATCTTTTTATTAATCTCTTCCGTTCTTTTTTCGTTGATTATCGTTAAGATTATTAAAGCTATTCGAGTCACCGGCTAAAGCTTTAGCTTAATAATATTCGTACTTTTAAGCACGCTCTTAACGATTCTTATACTTTTAATATCTTTTTTATCGATACGTAGCTTATTAAAAGATCTAAAAAGCTTATCGGTACGTTCGAAAGTGCTAAATCCTCTTTTCGAATTATTAAAGTTAAGCACGGAAATCTGCACGCTATCTTTAATAAGAGCTGATTTTATCCGGAATGCTTTTAAGTTTTAACGAATCTTTTTTTAGCGTATAGCTTTCGTAGCTTCGAGTATTATTTAATCCGATAATAATCTTAAAGCCTTTATTATTATCGCTATTAAGCTTAAGCTTTTCAAAAAACTAAATATAGCTTTTAAAAAAAGAATTTAAAAGCCGTTAAAGCGATTTTAGCTTTTGTTATATAATTAGCGTATTGCGTAACGATTGTTAAATTAAAAATAAGTACGTTAAAGTACTTCGTCGTAGCCTTTCGTTAGATTATATAACGTAAGTTTATAATTCTGCTATTTGCTTTGCTATAGCTTTTATATTTCGTTTTATATCTCTTTTCTTTTTTAAAAACTCTTTTCGTAACTTTTAAATTTCTTCCTTTTCTTTTTTTTTACTTAAAGTCTCTTTTTCTTTCCTTTTTAAGCTTCGCGAAAGTAAAAATAAAAGTAGTTAAAATATAATATCTTCGTCGTCCGTAAAGTTTTCGGCGGTCTACTTTAATTCGAAACTTAAAAGTATTGCTTATTGCTCTTTTATTTCTTCGAAAGTCTATTAGTATTGCTACTCGTCGTTTAAAAGCTTAACCATTTTATTAGCGTAGCTTTTTTGCTTTAAAGAGCACTATACGCCTTTAAACAGCAAGTGTTTTTTAAAGCTAATAAAAGTAGCAAACTTAAAGCTTCGTTTTGTATTGTCTTTCGTTATCGTAAAGCTCGTCTAATCTTAGCGTAAGAAAGCGTGCCGGAATAATCTTTATAAGTCGTAATCCTTTAGCCTTTTATACTTTGCATTTAAAAAGTCCTTTATTATTGCTCGAGCCGTAATCTTATTATTAAGCTTTGCGTATAATAGCTCGTTTAAGTCAAATAAGATACTCGACATCTCGTCGTCTAGCCCTTCCGAGAAGCTTAAAAGTCTTAAGTATAATATTTCTTTTAGCTAAATAGCTAAAGGTTCCGTAAGTAATAATAAGACTCGAGAAGTATAATACCTTGCTCTTTATCGGCTAGACTCTTTACTTAAAAGTCTAGTTGCTCGATCGGCTATAATTATTATCTGTTTGTGTATAAATCGATTTAAATTAATTAGATTGCTATATGTAGCAAGCGCGGCTCTTATAGCGTTAAAATTATTATATAAAAGTAACTTAGTTCGAAATCACTCTTCCGTAAGAATAAAAAAAATCAATAATATAAAAAGAGACTTAATACGGAATCGCTCTTCCGTTATAAAAAGAGGAAAATATCGTATTAAAAGGTATCCTCGCTATAAAGTCTTAGCTTCTTTATAATTAATCACTTAATAGTAAATCAACTATTAATCAATATTAAATTGCTTTTAAGCGATTAAAAATATATATTCGTAAAGTCGTAACGTTCGTTAAAGTACTTGCAATTGCAAAACACTCGGTTGATAAAGTATCTGAATTCTATCTGCTCCTTAAGACTCAAAAGAGCTGATTCCTTTTATATGATTAAAAAGAATCACGTGCACTAGCTAGCTAATAAGTTTACTAGTCAAGTTAAGGGTCCCTTAACTGCTGACATGCTAAGCGAAGCATGCCAAATAGCCCGTAAACCCTGGTTCACGAGTAAACTTCCCAACTATTACTACTACTACTACTACTACTAGCTAAAGTCGATATAGATATACCGACACCCTCTTTTTTTCTTTCGTATTCTTCGTATTCTCTCATTCCTCGCTTTTAACCTATGAACTATAATTCACGAGTCCTTAGCGCTTTTACCTTCGTATATATAAACCTCAGCTACCTTCGACTTTTACACTCGGTAATTATTAATTTTAAA